TTATGAACAAAACATGAAAAATATATGACTAATATAGTGAATAGAGTGATAAAAAACCTTACAATATGAAGGCCATTATTATACTTGTTTATCTATGATGAAGGCATTCAATACAAAGCAATAATAATAAATATATAATTTATTGTTTAACGTAGTCACAATTTTTTTCCTTGTCAAATTGTGGTTCGATGCAAGATTATATATCAAAATTTCTGGTAGAAAAGATTTTCAAAAAGTCTTTGTTTTTCATTTAATGTATTGCCTCAAAGTTTATATATATACATGCTTCTACATCAAAACTAATATATATATATATATATATATATATATATATATATGTATGTATGTATGTATGTATACGCACACCCCATCATGGGGTAGTGGAAACCATTTTGTTTTTCTACATAAGTCGATAAACTATGACGCAAGCGCTTTTCGTCGGACAGTGCGAAAGAAAAGGACAGAGCCAATGCACTCCATCATTGTGTTAGACTAAGACATAACACTGGGAAAATACTTTTCCAGGACAATATATATATATATATATATATATATATATATATATATATATATATAAGCAAAAGATCGAAACCGATTCTAGTTAAAAGAAATTTGATGTATTCCAAAAACATTCGCCATTGATGTCATTTGTGTCTAGTTATGTGTCTAGTTATCCATTCCAAACTGTCGCAAAATGGGCGCAGTATAGTTCACTAATGAGCTCAATTACAAGGGATGCCAAAAAGGTATACTTTAGATTTCAAGGGATCTGGTCCTTGATTAGATTATCATAGGTTATCAAAACTCTCCACACAAGTTGGCTTTGATATGCATGAAATTTTACCAGATACTCATTTTGTTTGCAGAACCAGAAAATTTGAGCTACAATGAAATTTTACCGGCTGGTGTACTTAAGCTAAAGACATAACTCACAATTTAATGAATTAATTATTTAATTAAAGGTTTTGTTTGCATGGCCAAGTAATTATGTGCAAAAGACGTTAAATACAATAACTGAATTATCTATTGCTGCTGATGGAAATTAATGCAAATGCAAATCTTACTGTTCAAAGTATTTCAATTCTTATTGATGTTCAATGTATAAAGACTTCCAAATCAAGAACATTACAGTGTTGCAATCTCTTTAGTTAGGTTGTAAGTATTGCATATAACTTGTTAAGTTTTTAATTAATTGTCATTGAACAATATTGACGAATTTTCAAATATGCTATTAACATTCTTTTCATTCTTCAAAAAAAAGTACAGAATTCTATTCACATTCTACTTCCTCTTTTGCAGAATGCTTATATTTCATTTTGGGAAGAACTCGACTCTGACGGATGGATATATGGACATCCAAATTCAATATGAATTTATAAGAAAATAGTAGTTTCAAGACATAAAAACAAATTTAATATTTTTATATGTTTTTAAAATGAGCATTACATGACACAAGAAGTTGAAAACCTCGACTTTCCAAACACAAGATTGTAGTTTCAAATACCGTAGCAACGCTTAACTTGATATCAAGCAGTAGCATTCACCATATACACTTGGTAAATATAGAACATAAATATATTTATAAGTCAAAATAGCACTTTCTAGCATTGCTGCAAATAGAAATTAGAAAGGACAACTACAAGATTGTCTTCTAATAGCGATTTGTCTAAAATTACTAGCTTATTGTAACATGGGCAAGTAGTAACAGAAGTTGTCTCTATTGATCATGTAAATCTCCCTGATGGAGTAGTATACAAAAGGGTGCAGGTGCGTCATTTTTGTGAAGCAATGTAAAATTATACTTAAAAATAAAAAAAACTGTTTTAAAAAGCCCCTAACTTCCATACATATTGTAATTTACAGGTAAATGAATAATATATTACCAAGATTTCGTATCAGGGTGTTAAAAGTTGTTTAGAAATTAATGAAAACCCCTCCATATAAAAAAGTAATTTTATATAATATTAATAGTGCTTTGGAACTATTTTCTAAGAATCTTTTATACAACCTACAGAATCCTTTTTATATTATTTTTATCTTTATTTATTATGATCATTTACAATCATTGACGCCATATATTAGATAAAAAGCACCTGCTGAAACTTGCCATTTCATTAAAGAATCTCTAATAATTAAAACAATTAAAATAAATAAAATAAATAAGCATATCTGAACTGAATCTATGTCAAAACTTGAAACTCATGAAAAAAGTTGTCAGGCGAAAATAAATCAATAAAATTAGTTTATTTACTTTTATGTGGATTTGAATAGCTTTATTATGAATTATTATCTTAAATATTGCATATCGTTACTTTTCGGTTATTTTGGTCAGTTACAATTTTATTAACCATTTTATAGACAATTGATTATTTAGCAAAGTTGTAATTATAACCTTATAAATGTATGTATCCCAATCTGTATGTAGTGAATAAAAATATCTGACTTCATATATCTGTCTTTCCGAGCACATGTACCAGGGGTTGTTTTCCCTTGAAGTCTGTCGCAGAAGAGAGTATTCTTTGATTGAATTAAGTCGCCAATTACTTGACTTGGAATTTTGTTCCCCTGGCATTCTATTTTTCGTTTTCTCTTTTTTTGCTTTTTTGCTCTGGGGGGTTGCAAGTATCTTTTGGGGCAACCCAAGAGCTGCTCATTCGAATGCATGTTTTATGATGAATTTAGAAAATGGAAGCCAACTCATAGTAAAAAATATATAAACATTTAGATGACTTGAAACTATTTTATGGTCAATGGACGCCTGATAAGTAATTATTGTACAGACAGATTATTGAAAATTTTATAATTTCACATTATTAGTTATATTTATTGAAATTCTAAATATTATCAATTTTAGTACTAACATTAGGAACATTATTAACTCTCGAAATCTAGAAAAGTTTTGACAACTGTCTTGGTTATAATTATAATGACCATATTTTTATAGGATTACCTATATGTACATATATGTTTGTATATACAAGTATATATATATACACATACAGATACGCAATTTGTACAGGGTTGATGAACCAATTTATTTTCAATTTGTCATACAACCCCTCGAGTGTTTGAATATCTTTATCACGCTGGCACCCTAGGCATATATATATATATATATATATATATATATATATATATATATATATGTATATATATATAAACTTTAGATTTTTGGTTCGACAAAAAACGTATACTTAAAATGCTTATTCGCAGCTAAATAGTAGAAATAAAAAGCAATATATAATTAACACTTTCTTATATATTTTTCGACAATGTACGTGTATCTCATTCAGCTTGTTAACAAAACCTAAGACAAAAATTTCGAAGTTTGTATAATTGCAAGATTGCTAAAAGATCTAACAAATAAAAATAATAATACATATAAACTAAAAAAAACAACACACTAATTTTAAAGGCATTGTTTAATGAAAAAAAAAACAAAATAAAATAATAAACTAATAGTTAAATAATAATATCATGTAGTAAGCCACATGATTAACAAATTGTAAGTGTAAAGTTCTGCCATTACAGAAATGAAGGGGTTCACAAATGCAGATTCAGGATCGATTTCTGGGAAATGCTAGCTGGTTGGAAACAAGGTGGATCAAAGATGGACAAAGAACAAACTAAAATAAAACAAAATATTAAAATTTTTAAAAATAAATATAAAATATTAAAAGTATGATAAAAAATAAAAAAATAAAGAAGTGAACACACATATAAATATTGAATAGGAAGTAAAAACTAAACAAAACCAACAAAAGTCCACAATTAAAAAATCGCAGATTTTTTTTTTAATTGATAATTTTATAAGTACACATAGATATTAAAAGGGCAAAATTACATTTATTTATACAAAAACTATTTAAAATGATAAACATAGGTTCATCAAAACATCTAAAATTGGCTGCAAACATTTAAAATATTATAAATAATAAAAATAAATAAAAAAACAAGAATATAATAAAAAATAAAAAGTTAAATAAGTGAACACAAATATAAATATTGAAAAGAAAGTAAAAAGTAAACAAAAACAAACAAACAAAAGTCCACAATTAGAAAATCGCAGATTTTTTTTAGTAATTGATAATATTACTATCACATAGGTATCACATAGGTATTAAAAGGGCAGAATTTTATTTATTCACACTAAAAGTATTTATAATGATAAACATAGATTCATCAAAATTTCTAAAATTAGCTGCAAACATTTAAAATATTAAAAATATTAAAATATTAAAATCATTAAAAATATTAAAAACTTTAAAAATAAATAAAAAAATCAAAAATATAATAGAAAATAAAAAATTAAAGAAGTGAACACAAATATAATATTGAAAAGAAAGTAAAAACTAAACAAAACCAACAAAAGTCCACAATTAGAAAATTGCAGATTTTTTTTAATAATTAATATTATTAAAAGGGTATCACATAGGTATTAAAAGGGCATAATTACATTTCTTTACTCAAAGAGGATTAAAAATAATAAGAACAGATTCATCAAATTCTCTAAAATTGGTTGAAAACCTTTCACGAATATCTTTCAACGTCAAATAAAAAAATCTAAACTACTATATATATATATATTTATATATATATATATATATATATATATTAATATTTTATGTACAATTATATCTTTATATTCATAGAATATAAAGACAAATCGACACAAATCGCTACTTGTTTTATAGAACTTTATATATTAATGCACCAACCAAAATATTTTGCTGAGTTACTTTAAATTATATTGAGGGACTATTTTTGTTCAAATTCAATTTTACGATTGATTTTTCAGTTTCCGTTTTTTGATAGATTTTATATATTTGGCTGAATGTAATATCCGGTTATTTTGCTCTCGATCGCGTTTTGCAATTTTTGAACTGTTATGAACCCAAATAGTAAGATACATAGTACGTAGTAGTAAGATATATATATATATATATATATATATATATATATATTTATTTATTTATATTAAAATTACCTGTATCCTGGCCTCATTCAATTTTGTTGTCCGTGCTAATTCCTCCCTGCAATATATATCTGGGTAGTGAGATTTTGCAAAGGCAGCTTCGAGTTCGGCTAATTGTTCCTGAAACAATAGATAATTTAAAATAAAGTTTCGGACTATTTGTTTAACCTAAAACAGTATAAGAAATAGTTATACTTAATAGTTAATTAAGTCTGCAGTTTCAGCCGTTTCAAAGAATCAGTTGTACAAATATGGCAAATTGTAAACCTCATAAAATTATCAGATTTTTATCAATGAGTAAGATGTTTTCTACTTTGAATTATATAGTTGAATGTCAACAAATGGTAACCAAGTATGCAGATTCGTTTACAAAATAGTACCCAACTATAACTTAAGTCATTACGGTTAATTGTTTAGAAAGTTTGAAAATTGTAGAAGTTTTATTAGGTACTAGATGGCCCGACAGACGTTGTCCTGTATCCATGTCTACAATTTTTTAATATAATATATTGTTTTTTTTAAATTACTCTTCTCGCCAAAATGCATATACATTTATAATATGAGCAATGTTAAATGTAGAACTGCTTTAAATTAAATGATGAACTCAATTCCCACACTATATTGGAAATTGGAGTCTTTTAAACGGCATACATAACCATGACCATGACATAACACTGGGACTTCATGTTGGATTCAATTAATTTAATTTTTTATTATTTAATATATCCAAAATTGCATCTGAAATTTTTTCTAATCGATATCGTGAGGGCCGAATTGTATGTATTCATCTTTACACTTTCCCATTTGTTGTTATAAAGTGAATTTCTTGTGGCAAGATTAGTAAAAGATGCAAAGAAATTATATATTGAAAAAAATATATATTGAAAATTTTATATCCGAATCTTGTGTTGGCGCCCCTTTAGGCGTGCGATTGTATTTTTCGCATGCATCGCATTGAAGGTCGGACCGGCCCTGATTAATACTTAATATCATATTTTAAGTGAATTAATTTGTCATATCCTGTTCATATGTGTATCATTCAATCTGCCATACATATACTGTATCTTATATTATATTAATTTCTGGCACATCTCAGCTGCTTTTTGGCAATAATAATGTTGATAATTAGACATTTCATTTTTTTTTCATAATCATAAATTTATTAAACATATTCTAATATTGTCTAGGTTTATAAGTAAATTGAAATTTTTGGCAGATGATAGTTTTCATTTATTTTCAATGCAAACAATAGCATGTCGTTTTCTGCAATTTTTTCCATTTACTCGTATTTCTATAATATTGCACATACATCCCAGTACTTTATAACCACATATATCATAGAAAATTTCCTTAACAAACTTCAGAAAGATTTACCAAAATCCGAATAATCGTTTAGTAGAAGGAGTATTCAGTGAGTGCTTGTAATTTAATATGAACTTTAATAGCAATAAAGCTCAAATTGATTCTACGTTTTAGGTAGAAAACGTTTGTATGAGAAAAAGAAAAGGGCTGTTTTTAGGGTTTTTCCAGCAATTATTCGATTTTTTCTCGCCGTAAGAACCATCCTTGGACATCAACGAACATTTTACAAAAGGAATTGGCCAAATTGGTCCTGGCGTTGTTGAGTTATGCGCTTTGGTAATACCAACACATTTTGCGATTCATTTTTATATATAAGATATATTCAATTACTTAATTTTATTTTTATTGCCAAGTTTGAGAAATCTTATTACTATGTTATAATTCAACTGTAAACATTCAGTAAAACCTTCAAGTTTTGTTTAGACATTTAGTCTGTATTTTTACTTCATATAAACAATTAGTTCAAAAAATGTATTTAGCTATTGGCATACCAAACAATTAGTTTGAAGAATGTATTTTGCTAAAGGCTAAAAGTATGTCATATAAAACAATTAGTTAAAAAATATATTTTATTTTAGGATGTAATGTACGTACGTCATCATATAAAACAACCATTTCAAAAAATCCATTTATTACCTGGGTAAACGTAGTCCTATGCCTCCGCCTTGCCGGTGTGGGACACTGACTTGCTGAACTGCCTCCGCTCGACGTCAAATGATTCAAGGCACCGCCGGCACCTAGCGTACTGCCACTAAGGTACCACTTGCGCCCAACGCGCCCCCAGCAAGACCAGCTCCGGCTCCCAATGAGCCTGTGCTCAAGCCGCCAGCTCCGAGAGATGCTCCGGTCAAGGAATTTCCACTGAGCGAACCGCCACTGGTGGACGTCGTGACTGAGTTTGCTCCTCCTGTACTGTGGTGGTAGTGGTGGTTTAGTACGGAACCGCCGTTTCCCGTTGATATGGGTTCTGGTTTTAGTTTCTTGAAGGCTCCTATCGCTTCTGGGGAAAGAATATAAGGGAAAGTTAATGAGATTATTAAAAACTATAAGTTATTTCAATAGACAAAAAATGGAAACAAAATATTTGATTTTTATAGATTTTTACAAACTTTACTACTTATAAGTAGTAGGGCAGACTCGGCATGATTGTGCCAGGGTACTTTAGTGACAGTCGTCATAACAGCCAAAATTATTTTATTTCTATACATTTTTATATACTTCACTAATGATAAGTACAGTGGCGGATCCAGGGGGTAGGGCATGGGGGCCATGACCCCCCTCCCTAAGCTTCAGATAAAACACTAATTCAGCAATAAAATTACTTCATAATGATTTTATTTATGTACTTTTTTACCAAACACATTTTATAACTTCAATATGTAACTTACTATGCACGAACGGCGGAGTCAAAGACTCCTAATAATTTAAGGATTTTCTAATCGTATTGCTATGCTCTATACATATATTATGTTCTATATCTATATATATATATATATATATATATATATATATATATATATATATTTAATTATGTGACCCCGCCCTGGCACCAAAGCTGGTTCCGCCACTGGAATAGTAATAGGAAAGACTGGGTACGGTTATGTCAAGGTACTTTTGTGACAGTAGTCATAACTGCTAAACTATACTGATTTTGACATAGGGTCCAAAGGGAGAAGGTGAAGCATGTTTATTCAAACAAGTTCCCATTACTGCTTTAAGTCAGAGCCTCACATTAACATGATCTGTAGACCGCATTTTTTTAAAGAGTCAAAAGTAACTTTTTATGTTCGAATTATTTTAATAATAAATGTTAATAAAAGAGAATTTATTAAATATGTCAATTATGTATTTTACGTTTTTGCCAGAAAATCTGATCTGTTAATTTCAAGTTTCTTGACCTTTAACTTTGATTTGATCAAGTCATTCTGATTAAAATGAGACCAAATTTGGAACAAAAATATGTTCGTGTGTGTGTAAGTATGTGAACCGATTTTTGACCAAGTAGTCAAAATGACCTAAATGAAACTACCTGCATAAGGTTAGGTCAGATAATTGATCCAAAGTCAAAACTAAGACCATATTAAGCAATAAATCAAGAAAACGACTGCATGCATTTAGAATTATTTATTTACAACTTCTATTGTTATAACTACCTTATCTTTTTGTAAGTTAAGAGAGTAAGCTTATCCGATAATAAAAAGGCTATTATAGAAAAATTAATAAAACCTTCTGGTAAAGTGATTTATGACGTTGTTAAGTAAATATTGAATCCTGGCTGGATTCTTACAATTAGTACTCCACATAGGACCTTGGTCTTTTTTATCATACATGTCCAAACACATGTGAGATGAAAGAGGGGCGTGTCGTGTTCTAGGAGACCCTTAGTGTTACACGAAACCGTCAAATTAGAATCCCATTAGGGAGCATAGAACAAGTGCTTTTCGCACCGCGTCTGTCCATATGTCACTCGGAGATTTACGACTGCGATGGGTCCTAGTTCAAAGTGCGAGCTTTTAGATAGATAAGTGCTAAAAGCTCAACTAGAATATCACGATCAGTTGATAACCATGTGTACTTATTAACACGCTACTTAGACAAAAAATAATAAAAATATGAAATAATTTCAAATTTACTTTGATTTATGTAATTATCTCGAAAGACCACATGTTATACAAATTTCCAACGTTCAATATATTTAAACTTTAATTGCACCATCTTTTGCAAAGACGTTTCCCAATTAAAATAAAATTGTCTAAGGCAGTAGGTCAAATATCGTAAAAAATCATGGAGATACTAACAATACTATCTTCTATATATATAAAAATATGTCGGGTTTTCCTTCCTGACAAAATAACTCCAGAACCCACGAACTGATATCGCCAATTTAGCATTTGTTGAAAAGGTCTCGGGCTCCGCAAGGTTTATAGCTAAGAAAATTGTGGTGCATGGCATAGTGCCCTAATGCAAATTGCTGGAACTTCACGCACCGTAATTAAAAATTCGAGTAAGTGAGAATTATCAGAATTATGCTTGGTTAAGTCAACGAACAATTCTTTCCGCAAAGTATAATGATGCACACGTACTGAATTTCACCATTCAATCAAAAATTGCTAGCGATTTGGTGATATGCCAATGATTCCGACTGGTCTTCCGTTTGGCTTCATACGATTGCAATTTCCAGTTCGCCTTGCGTTCGCAATAACAAATCGCAAGGCTATTCGCTTAGTGTTTGCGGGATAAATTTCAAATAGTTTATTTAGAAAATCATTGTTTTTCACATGGGCAGTTATACGTTGCCTGTTCACGAGTTGGAAAACCAATCGCTTTGTTTGTGTTAACGTCAGACCAAAAAACAAAAAATGTGGTTCAATGAAACGGATAATTTGCGGATTCACTTTCATTTACTTAGAGAAGTTCAACTAAAAAACACTTCATTGTAATCGAAATAAATTCATTACTGTTGTATAATAAAATCAAATTTTTCCTTTCCAAATAGAAAACAAACAAAAAATTTCTTCATCTTTCTCACGAAACCATCTGGTGCCGAAACGGAGTTCGTCGGGTTTGCTAGTACTATATACAAATTATTATGGACATATTCAATTAGAGAGTTGTTCTTTTGTATATTTAATTTTGTAATCTTAGCAAGTTAGCAGCATTGCGTTCAAAATGCATATACTGATCGTACATTAAATTATTAGAACATCTTTAGTCCTGTGTCAAAAATTTCAAATAATAACTTCAATCCTATCAAAACA